GTTTGGACCTGAAAGAGCAGGGAGTAATGGTGACCGGTGACCTATAGCACTGAGGCCAGTGTCCTGCTCTTCATTAGCGACCTCAGCAGGGCCCTGCCAGCTGCTGCTAAGGGAGGGAATAGAGGGGACTCTCCACTGCCCCAGATCTTTGGGAGAGCCATTTTTTTTTTTTTTTTTAAACACAATATATATATGGCTCTTGGTATGTGCCAGGCACTTGTTCTAATTAACAAATACCAACTCATTTAATCCTCATACAACCGAAGCAAAGGTTTGCACCCAGACTGGGTCCAGAATTTACGCTCTGAACAATTATACCAAGCTGCTTTCTGACAGAATGTACACGAAAGCTTTAAATCACTGCACATTCTCGACCCAGTAGAAATGCCTTTGGTAAGAATTTATTCTAAGGAAATAAGCACCACCACCCAGGAAGAACCCACAGATGACATGTACAGGGCCCTGCACTAGTGCTGCTGGCAACCCCTGTGAGCAACAATGGGGAGACGGACTGCTGACGTGGGGTGCTCCACGTCATGTTCGTGGGGAACTCCACCCCCGACCTTCCGCCTCCCCAAGCCCCAGCACCAGACTCAGACATATGGGGGATGGGAAAGAAACAGTCAACGGGTGGGATGCTTGGTGCTTGGCACTAGGACCTGTGATAAGGCACCAAAAATACCAGCTATGGAGCGATCAAAATCGATCAGTCTTTCGTTACCTAAGTATCTATAGAAAATCACCTTAAATGTATGAAAAAAATTTATTGAAAGCTTTGTGCCAGTACTGTTTTGCTTTGCATAGATTATCTCATTTAACTCTGATCCTGATGAAGACAGGAACTGCTTTTCTTCCCATTTTACTTAACAGAAGGGGTTTAGCAGGTCACCAGTGTTGCCGAAAACAGAGAGCAAGAATCTACAGGACTAAGGTCTCCGGGGCTCATCACCACACTGCACTGCACGGCCCTGGAAGATGGGACTTGGGGTTTTACCGCGAGTCTTACAAGAGCCAAGCCTGCCCCCTTCACAGCACTTCCGTACTTTGTGCAGTTTGACCCTTGCCTATCACCAGAGCTCTGACTGGTCAGCAGGAGGGCGTGTGACCTAGTGCGGGCCTCAGGGCCAACCACGGAGGGCAGGCAGAAGCTGCGGGCTTTCAACAGAGGACAGAGCCTGCGAATCACACTCCGGGGGTAGCGGTGCCTGGTGGGAGTTTGGATGTGGGGAGAAGGCAAGTCCCTGTGGTTTGTACTTTGAAATCTGTATCCTGGCATGAATCAAAGCTGAGTTCTCTTGGCAACAGGACAGCACTCCTAACAGAACAAGCTCCTCCGTCCCTGACACAACCTGTGCATGATGGTGCGGGCATGAGGTCCTTGGGGTTCGGGCCAGCAAGAGGCCATCAGAGGGGAGGCAGGAAGACGGCTTTGGGATGGCATCCGTGCTTGGACATCAGAATGTGGGCACCTTGGTGCTAGTCCTGCCCCTTGCTTAGCTCTTTAATCCTGACCTCGGCAGGTCATGTGAGGGGAATACAGTCTACAACCCATGAGACTCCAAGGGCCTGAATTTTGTGTCTTATCCTCAGTAATTTCTCCAATCAAACCTTTGCATTCCTTGAGCTAGTGCTGGGTGTGTCTAGAAGGAATTCATAACAGGAGCCCCTCACTATCTTGTCTTAAGGAAGGGGCATCCCCCAAGTTCTTAGGCTGAAGCCTTAACCCCTAATGCTTCAGAATGTGACCGTACTTGGAGACGGGCCTTTAAAGAGGTAATTAGTCAAAATGAGCCCATTAGGATGGACCTTCTTATTGCAATCTGACTGGTGTCATAAGAAAAGGAGAGGACAGACAGAAGGACACCAGGAACTGGAGTGTACAGAGAAAAGCCCAAGGATGGAAACCTACCAACACCCCGAGCTCGGACTTCCAGCCACAGAACTGGAAGAAAATTAACTGCTTCAGCTGCCCCGTCTAGCAAACTGATACAGAAGTTTATATCCACTTCATATTTCGACCACTCCCTATCATGATTTAGAACGGCAAGTGCATACAACAAACCAAAAGTCTGTTTGGTTAATACTTTTAATTATATGATTATAATTATACAATTTTCACTATTCAATGTTTTGTATAAAACCAGTTACAATACACAAGATTTTCAAACTCGACAATACGTACCAAACTACATAGATATGCAAAGTTTACAGGCCATTATGAAGCTTTATCTTAAAAATACCTTCAGGAAAATAAACATTCATTCAACCAGTTCTCTTGGCTTTATAAAATATGATTAGAAATATACATTTTAATAAAAAAATCAAGACAATGATTGATCAAATACTGATTAATCAGTTACATTTTAAAACTTTTAATAATCTGTACATGAGTGCAGGTTAGATAAAAGTCTGCAAGTTATTAATATAAAACTGCAGTACTATAATCAGATGAACTTATCTGCTGCTGACAGTTAATTCTACTGGGCAATTAAGGAGGTAATTTCCTACACAGTATAGGTGAATTGTCCAGTCTTTTGGACATATCTGTAGTATTTCCACTTAGCAACACGAGGAATACTCAGATTGAGGAGAAATGGAGGAGCAGCAGCTAGCCTGACCAGGACAGTTTTTCGCAGGAGAGAACTATTAAAGAATTAAAACAGTTTTTTAAAGTCGTTTTCGATGAGCACTGCTTTCCAAAATGCAATAATTACTTGTAAAAATGTATGAAGAGAAACAGTTAAGCTACTTTTAGAACAAACATCAAAAGAGCGCATTGCTCATTTGTCATGAATGGTGGTGACTGAAGCAAAGGAAAGCCTCCAGAAGCTCTTGGCACGACACCACCCAGAGCGCCTGATGGTCCGCAGGGTGTGCTGAACCGGCCATCAGGCTCCAAGGGCAAGCACATTTGCCTCGTGAGAACACTTGGGAATTCCTCTAAAAAAATGTCTGGGCCCAAGAAAAGAGGTAGAAATCACCCCCGTGAGAGGGGAGGAGGGAAGAGAAGGAAGTGGGTGGGTGACAGGCTAATGGGGCCAAGTTTAGAACAGAAGAACGCTGGAGATGAGAAGAGCAGCATGCCACCCAGAAGCGGCTACTGGGACAAGGAAGGCTACTTGTTTTAGTGAGGCACAGCTCAGGATTTACCCCTCTTCACAGACAGCTAAGAGAGATTTCTAGTTTTTCTTTAGCATTACAAAAGAGAAGTCTGTCTATACTTCTAGATACCAGGTTTTGCAGACGCCCTTCCTTTGGACTGTCTCTGACTTTGGACATGAGTCCCCCCAAAGCTTCAAGAACAACTAAAAATATTCATTTCTAATTTTAATCCCAGTGGAAACTATCTCGGTGTCCTTTCAAAGCTATTTAAGGCTTCAAGTTTGAAGGAATCTCTCCATCTGACATGCCCTACTTCATATTCCATAGCAACAGGGTCTTTCTTATGACAAGGGAGTTAGAATCTCGGAAGATTCTGGGTGTGCTGAAGTTTCCATTAGGGGAAAAAAAGAATCCACTCTTATTCATAGCAGGAAGTACTTTCCATCAGTCAGACCCAGAGACTTCCTGGATTCTACATACACCCCCAGTAAGTTTACTGGTGTGCTATGAAGTCGCCCTGAAGCACTATTCCAACTCCCCAGTGCGTTCTACGGAATGCTTCTTTATCAAATCACTAGTTTCCCATGACTCATTTCAGTGGGCCTGTTAAACACAAAGATTTTTTAGAAAGAGCCACAGTGATAGCAATTCTAGCTGGAAACTTGAGCAGCCAACACAAAAAGGAAATTTGTAAAATAAAAAAGTACTGTGGTTAATGCTGAAGCCCAGATTTTTCACTCTTGGCCAAGACACCAAATGGCTTATTTACTGTGAGGGAGACAGCATGTAACTTTTTCTGATGTAGTAAAAAGCCAAACCAGGGACAGTTGAGATGGAAGTTTGATTTTCATAACTACCTGGATTATTTATGTAGGAGAGATGGCCTTTAAAATTGTCAAGGGAAGAATTGCCCTGAGAATTCAATGTTTTATGCAAGGGCACAGTCTGAATACTTAGTATTATCTCCGAGACAGCAAATGGAATGTTTCTCCTCCCACCCAGAGCTTAGCAAAGAGGGGTCTTCCCATCCAGTAAGTGGGTCTTTGTGTCTCTTCACTTCCAGGGACAGAAAGCCACCTTTTTTTTTCTGAGATCTAGTCCCCAGTGTTCAAAAGCCGGCATGACCCATCCCGACGGGGAAAGGCCACTTGTCTGACCAAGACAGTGGCACCTGCCATCTCCCCTCAAAGCCAGTCAACCTTATAATTTACTCCAAGAGAGTAAATATCAAAATGGAGCCATGGTCTTCCAGTAACTTTCTGCATTAACAGACTTGAATCTGTTTATTCCAACCACTTCTTACCACTCTAAGTTTTGTTAAAAAGGCAGCTTTTTAAAATGGAATTGCCTGCTCACCTGGTTCATTCATCTTGTAATGTGAAGGCATTTGCCTTCTCTAGCCTTTCCATATTGTATCCCCTGTTTTCCAAACCAGGACAGGCAAAAATTGGTTAACAATAACTAAAGCCATTCACTTTTTATTATGGAGGTAACCAAAGTGACTGCAAAATATTCTTGTATTTTGGGCCCCATTTTGTTTTAGCAGCAAATAAATTATTTTTGTGATTGCTTTGTATCACAGATCTGCTGTGTTTCTGTAGGGGGGAGGGGCGAAGGCACTCTGCAAAGAGTTAGTTGTATTCCCTAACCAAAGGCAACAGTGAGTCTCTTATTTACAAACAACTGAAATCCAGATGTGAATAACTGTTACTGAAATCAAAGGGTATGTGAATGGCCTTAGGCAGATCACAAAAAAAAAAAAAGAAATCCACAATGCTACAAAGAAAGACCCTAATAAAGCAGTACTTTTTTTTTTTTCTTTTAAGCCACCATTATTTGGGATGGCTGTTTCCAAGGGAAAACACCAACAGTGCTGTTTTGTTTTAGTTTTTTTTTTTTTTTTAAATCATGTGTGGAAGGAAATATGATTTGTTTGTAGGACTGGGCAACCAAACAGTGGGCAGCCTTGGCATTTTCCAGTTCCTCAACGACACATAGAGGAATGACTTACAACAATCTTCCAACTCTGAAGCCAGTTTCCCCTCCTGAGTCTTCCTAGAGCTACAGCTCACATTCTCTTACCAGTTTAGGTTGCCAAAGTACCACTTTTTATCACAACATCCAACAGTCTTCAAACAGGTTTTTCACAGGTTCTTGTTAATAAAGCACTCTTTGGTGGAAGACAAGCAGCTTGGGTACTTAACAGAGTTACCATTACAACCACGTTACAAATGTTAAACTGAAGATGGTTAAACCAAACAGTATCAAATTACAGAGAGGATCATTTCAGTAACGCCTGTTTTCTCTTTATAAATTTTGACACAGGGTGAACAGAAAATAAATACATAAAAAACCTCCATCAGATCCTCCCTTCTTCTGAAGGCCAGCAGCTAAAATGATTGCCATCACAGGGACACACGTGCACCACACAAACTGGTCAGCTCTCCTGACAGCAGAGGGCTTTTGATATTTACACCTGAGACTAAATTTACAACAGCTTTTTTGTCATTAAACTCGAGACATTTCTACAAAAGGTGAGCCGGGCCTTCTTCAAGTCACTGATTGTGCCCAAACTCATGTAGTTATTTAAACTCCAGTGGACATTGTCTTCCTTGAATAAACTTCTTAGGTGGAAAGCAGCTAAGGCTTTTTTGCAATTTTGTTTTTTTTCCAAATAAATTGTGCTAAGTCCTGCTGTAGTTTTCTGTTCCTAGAGTCTTCCTTCAGTTCTGGTCACAGGTTTTTACTTAACGCAAGACTGTTTTAGTCCTTGAAATGGAGGGACTACAGGGGGAGAAAAAAAAGGATTTTACCATGAAGGTTTCCAAGTGTCCTGTATGTAGTTATCAAAAGACAAGGAAGGCAACATAATAAAAGTAGTGACATGCTAAAAAGTATACACTTTGTATAATTTTTTTAATGACAAGTATTTTGGAAAAGACAGTACAGTACCAACCATAAAGTAAAGACAAACGGGAGAGAAAGGCAGAGCAGAAAAAGGTTCAGTTCTGCAAAAAAATAAAAAATAAAAATAAAAACAAAGAAAACAGGAAGGGTGGGCAGAAGCAGCAGAGCAATGCGAGTACCATAATGCCATTAAGGGCATTTGTTGCAAAGCATTCCTTTTCCTTCCTTCCCTCTGAGGAACCAGGCTGTGGGAAAGGTGGAAAGAATGAAAAGATAAAGAAGTGTTACTTGATTATTTCCAAAGCCAGAATTCGGTCACAGAAAAAGCTTTGGCCCCTCAAGCAGTTTCCAGTGGAGCTCGGGCCTGCTGCCAGCAGGGCGCCCCACCCCCCGCCCCAGGAAAAGCCATCCCGCTGTTGGAAACTGACCTGGACTGTCACCCTACCTCCCTTCTATCCTCCCCATTTTATTCTGTCAACTTTGAACTCAACAGCAACTTTCAGAGAAGAAACTAAGCAACGGGTAGAGTCAGAGAAGCCAGTTCTCATCTGGAGGTACCCTCACTGGGTACTGATGGCGCTCTAGGAGAGTAGCTTGTCTGAATCCATCACTTAGTCTCTGGAGACCCCAATGGAACACTGCGTTTCTATAAGGGTCCAGGTCAACTGGTGCACCCAAGTGGGGAAATGTCTGGAATTTCAAAGGGGAATCAGTATCTTAGAAGACCAGAGGAAACCCACAATTTTTTAAAAAGGATATTTAGCGACAACATTCTGGTGCATCTAGGTAGATGCACTTTCAGAGATAATGACCTTAACAGAAAGACAGGAGCCCAGAATTGGTGGAATGGACACTGAGATCTGAGACTGTAAGAGACAAGAAGCAGTGGCAGGCATGATGATGACAAAAGTCACAAATGAGCAGACTTCAAAAGCCCAAGAAGTCCTGAATGTGGTACTCCCAACAGAAGGGCTCATGGAAACACTCACGTTTTTAGAGGCCAAGGAAGGCACCCTGAGCATTTATCTTCCCCCATGATATGGATAATTAGCTGCAAAATACCTCAAAAGCCATGAACATTAGGTTGGTTTGACAGGTGGAACAGAAAGTGATGGTTCCCAATGACATAACTTGGAAAAAAAAAAAAATCACTGTCCATGACCGTTTTCTCAGAAAATGAAGGAAAGAAAAAAAGGACTCCTCCAAGGAAATAGCACATGCTTATAGAAACATGCACTTGATGGTACGTATGTTGGGTCAAGACTTGAACTGAACTGGATTGTACCCCATGAGGTGACTGCAGGTCCTCAATCAGAGGCACAATGATGGAACTTTCAAAACTCTAAGAGAGCTTGTCCGAAAGAAAGAACACTGGAAAACAGGTCAGTTCTCCAATGGATTTAGTAATTCTTAAAAGAGAAACAGCAGAATGATTTATAGCTCTAACAGCAATTGGGAGAGGTGGAAGCCCATTGATTTACTTCTTCAGACGTGAGAAAGGGCATGAGGAAGGTGCCACATGGAACTCTCTCTGCCCTGAGGGTCAGTGTGCTCCATCTACCACCACACACTCCAGCGCTCCAGGCCTAAACTGCATGCTGGGCCATAGCAGAGCCTAGCACCCAGGAGTGAGGCTCAGATGAGGCTTGTGTTCAATGGGTACAAGAGGGAATGAGCATCTGCCAGGAGAGAAACATGGGTACACTTCCTCCCCGCAGCAAAGATTTATGACACCACCTAGTTTTTCAGCCTCCAAATAACCGCTCTTTTAATGTGTTTGTGGAAAAGTTGTCCCAAGTCGTACAGCCTCTCAGTAAACTGTCAAAAATCGAAAGAGCCAAATCAGTGGAAAGTGAGCTTAGGTAAGGTCTTCATCCCGGAAGCCTCTAGGAAGGGAACAGAACATGGGCATGAAAGGTCAAGTTCCGATGGCAGGACAGATAGGACGAGGACGATCATGTGTGAACATCAACCTGCAAAGAGAAGGCTTCCGTGGTGGGGTAACAGCAGACAGGCAACGCTGGCACCTTGGAGGTATTTATTTTATACTGTAAGATATACTAGGTTCATTTCCTTGTATTGCTGTCTAAAGCAAAGTTTTCAATTCAATACTTTACTCAACAATCTTATATTGCTTTGTCCTGAATCAGACTATGCACAAATGTGTCAATTCCCTCATTACTTTTCAATGAAAAATGAATACTATTCAGTAGGATAAAAGCTGCAGGCTACAGCTTGGCTATATCAACTCTATTTCCTAGAAGCAGGAAATGAAACCTGTACATAACGTATTTGCCTTCATTTCATGAGCTATAGGTGGCTCACAGTTAAGGTGATGTGAACACAGGTCAAAGACCCAAAAGAGGCCAAGGAGACCCTACCTGAAGGGAGGTGGGAAACACACTCAAAACCCAATTCTCTCTCATTGGTTTATTTCTTCATCCTTCCCAATCTCTGAAAGTCCACTCTGAGAATTTAGAAGAAGCCTTTTGGCTTTTGGCACTATCCCAAATGCCTGGAAACTGCTTTGGGTCATTTCAAAATTCAGTCAAGTGTATTCAGTCTGAATTCTACGTTCAACCCCTCAAAGCATACGGTGCACGGACCTCAGGCAGATGCTCACTGCAATCAGGAACCACCTCTGCTGAGAAGCACAAGTTTAGATCACTAGACAAGACCTAGATGGAAAAACTGCCACAGGGCCACGCCCCTCAGAGGAACATAGTGTGACTGGGCACGCGTGGTCCCGGCTCCTGGACTCTATTCCTCTGTGGCCTGAAGAGCACAATCCAGAAAAGCAGAAAGCAGAATTAAATGTGCAAGACACACTCAACTGTAATGGAAGCCCGAGTAATTATACCTAAAAAAAAAAAAGTTCATTCAAAACATGTCTAACTAGTCCCGACTGCAGGCTTTTTATTTGAATTTTTAATAGTTTAAGTCACCTAAAATGTCAAAGTTAAAATGCTCCCATTTCTCCCTACTTACTGTAAAAAATTTGGAGAAAAAGAAAATGATAAAAAAGTAAAACTCCCTAATTGTCCTACCAGCTAGAAGAACTGTTAATAATACAGCATATTTTTCCATTACATTATTTCCATACATGCATAGAAATGTATGTATATATAAATATTTAAATATATGTATAATATACGTAAACTTACATATTATACATAAATATATGTATAAGCATATACATATATTTGTAGATGTATACATTTCCTTACATAAAGTATATTGTACTTTTACAAAACTAGAGTAATATTTCATAATTTTTATGTGTAGCTCTTTTCACTTATTGCTTCATGAGCATTTATCCAGGCCATTAAGTTTTCTTTAAAAACATGACTCTTGATTCACTTGGCATAATTCAACAATCTTCAGCCCATCTCCTCTTCCTCACTGTTATAAATACCATATTGGTATTATGTTATAATGTACCTAAATCTTTGACTTTCTGTCAATATTTCTCTAATATTCTTTTCAAATGGAATTAGAGAATAAAAAATTTATGAATATTTGATACCTTTCAATGAAAAATTCAAAATCCCCAAATTATGAATTGGTGTCTTCAACTACTTGAACTAAGGCCTTATCACATTCTTGTGTAAGTAAACATATGTAGTGAAATTATAATGAAAGAATGAGCAGAGGGGGTGAATGGCATAACTGAACAATTCCTTAAAAAAACAAAACACACACACACACACACACACACAAAGACACAGATGGGAGAGCTCGTCCCTCAAAATTAGCAAGTCCCTCAGGATGCAGGCTGCTGAAACCTGCCCCGGAGACTAACTCAGCCATCCCACCGCCTCAAAGATATGAGGGCAGAAAGTTAAAAAAGAAGCAAGGAAAATCGTGAAGGATGCTTTAAAGTCTGGTTCAAACTATCTTCAGGCTGCTTGTGGTCTATTATAAGAGAGGCACTGGGCCATGAGCACAGGACCACAGGTGTTGTCAACACCAGGCAAAGATGCACAAACACAAAAAAAGGGCGCCTGCTTTCCCCTCCTGAGATGACAGTAAGTAGGTTATTTGCTCTTCCTTCAAAAGGGGCGTGCTCCTGAAATATGCTAAAAGTGAAATGTCTGCTTTCAGTTCATGATTAACCACCAAAAACAGTAACGAGTAATGGATTTGGTCATGGAACGTGTGCTTTTTCTTGTCATAGCCTGTAATAATGAAGGAAAGGAAGATGCTGGGCTCCAGGTGAAAGCATAAACCCCCCTGGGGTGTGTACTGTGGCCAAGAGACCAGGCCCTAGGTAAAGAAGGATTCCAGACTCGCTGGTGTTCTCATATCCACCATCACAATTATTTGCAGCTAATTCTCCAACAATTTTGCTGTATCTGATATACAAAAAAATTTCCTCCGAGCCTAACAGAGAGCTATGGAAATACAAAAATGTATTGAGTACAACCCTCTCAATTTTCCCATAATCTGACCCCGAGACCACATTTCCAGTGTTGAGAACCACCTCTGAAAAACAAAACAAAACAAAACAAAGCCTACATTAGCAATGGCCCAGATTTTCTTAGATGATGAACAAGTCAAACACATTTGATTAATTTCCTGTCACAGGGACTCTGCTTTCTCCTCTCTTTCTCTCTTCATTTCTATCTCCAGAAGATTAAACTTGAAAAATCAATGCTTGGAACTTTTCAGAAGAGTAGGATTCTTTTCTCACCTTTTAAAACTGCTTTTTCTTGAAGCAGATCTGGTGGTTCTTTTAGTAATGCCTGCACTGCCAGAAATGTTAGGTTCAGATGTTTTACAGCTCTGAACACTGGACTGAAGAATTACTCTGAAAACAGTTGGAAAAAAATAAGATTATATTCACTGAAACAATTTTCAAATACTTGACGGAGGAAGGCATCTTTGCACTTTAGTGCAAATTATTTTATTGAGAATTGATAGGATTTTCCACAAACACATTTGCCAAAAAAAATCTGAAACACATTTTCACATCCAAGTTTTTTTCATTTCCCCATGAAGGTTACACAAAGATAACCAGAATTTACTTTGCTTTAAGGAACAAATCACCTGGCATCTTAAGCAATTCCCACACCAAAGAAATCAATCAGTAGAACAAATCTTTGTGCTCCAAAGTAAAAGTAGATTCTCAGAATTCTAGTCATAAAAACAAGAAATCATTTAAAAGCCCCAAATTCTAAAGAATATGAATATAAAAATCTATAAAAAAGTCACTCTTCGGAGGTGAAAGTATGGGCAATTCACCCCAAATCATACTTACTTTATATAACATTTCAATTTTAAAAATATGTTCAAACAAAACTTGAATTTTGTCTAGATTATAACTACTCACTAAATCACTAAGTACCATTCACATGAAAGCAAAATTGTTTGAATTTCGTGAATCTTGATTTAATTAAACTCTAAAATAATCTCAAGGAACTGATGCCTATGGGTGTAGGTTGTCCAGGAGGCAAATTCATGAGTCAGAAGAACACCCTCAGATAAAGCCCACATAAAACACCTTGCTCAAAAGTAGAGGGTGTTTTGTAATTCCTCACTGAATGGTCACAGGGAAAACAGCAGAAAACATCAAATGATTTTATGTGCAACCCTTTTCTTCAACAGATAATGACCAAAATGCTGAACTGCATACACACACATTTATATATACACTCGACTTTTATTTATCTGTAGGAGAACACACTGCCTTAAAAATAAGCTTCCTCCTCTCATGTCCAAACGAAGGTGAGAATGGATAACCACTTAAGAGGACCCAGCTCATGAAGAGTAAACAGAAACCATTATGACTAACTAGTATCTGTCTCCTATGCCTGTCTCCTATGCCTGAGTTACCGCCATGTTAATTAATAACCAAAGCCAGGTCCTCAAAATGCAGCAAAGATCTGTAAATTCTGAGTATTAACCCAAACCAAAGCATATTCAGCATTTAGTAAAATGCTTAACTTCTCATCACTTAAAAAAAAAAAGCGATGGGTGGCAGTGGACCAGAGAGGCAGCCTAGAGGCCAGCGGTTTCCAAGCTATTTGGGGGGTGGGGGGGGGAGAGAGGGTGGGGGCGCTGCTCTCTCAGCTGGTTTGCTTTATCCCCATAGTCTTCCTCAAAGCCTATGAAACAGGCCTTCGGTCTCAGAAGGAAACTGATCCTGGGTAAATGAGCCAATGGTTGCCTTGGGATTTCTCACAAAGCTTTATCACTCTAACAACACAGAAAAGGTATATGCAGACAGTTTGATCAAAGAAGGCAACCAACCGCCCTGGTATATGATTTCCACCTCTGAAAACAAGGATTTAAAAATCTTTCTGATCATATCAAATGGGGTGGGGGGGGCGGAGAATATTTAATGTCTCTACTAACAGGATTTGAATATAGAATTTTTCATAAAGCAAAACAAAACAACCACCAAACTTCCACTGCTATTTCTGAAGCCCAGTCTGGGGGCCTCATACCTGTTCTGCGAGGTTCCCGGGTTTTATCTCCATTTAGCCAACGAGAGAAAATAAGACTCCTGTTGGCTTTTTTGGAAATACCACACCAACTTGTCAAATAATTTGAGGCCACTGACGGCCAAAAGTATAGACAATCCCCACCCTGTAAAATCATTAACATAAAAACAAGAGCCATTATATTACTTGTTTTAGGAAATTTAAATCTTGATTTCTTAACTACTACTGAAATATTCACTATTTGAAAAAAGAAATCGGTGCTAAATCAGGCTGGCAGGAAACATCTTTTAGAAAGCATTTCTTTCCCTATAAAATTAATGTAAATAATTCATATGGCTATTTTGAAAAGAAAAGCATGACAGAAATCTGGAATGTATTTAATCACACCAGTAGAGATTCAGGTAACTAGTTATTTGCATTAACAACACAGCAGTTACTGTATCTGTAAGTTATGCATCAGTAAACTGGAAAACCCCCAGCAACTACACTTAGATTATTACCTTGGTAAACTCCCACCACACCAAACGTAAGGTAGATCCACCCTCCCCCAAGGCATGTGGGAGGCCACTGCTTCTCACCTTGTGCAAACCAGGCCAATCACATGGCTTTGCAGAGCAGTATTCTACATAAATATTTTCTCCTTTCCCAGTGCCCCTAAATACTTCCCTCAAAAGGTAACTGTAAGGATTAAACCTGTTTACATCATTGTTACTGCTGAAGGCTTTTGTTTCTGTAAATTCCTTTCCATCTTTTCCTTAATCCGCAGTCCTCCTTTTTATGTCTTGCCCACACAAGAGTTCACCTTCTTTTTGGCAACCTCTTTTGAGACCCAGTATTCCCAGACAGAGACTTGCAACTTGAGGCATGTAGCAAATCAAGTAACTGACAAGCCAGCTCTCTTACCTCTCAAACTACAAAATGCTTTGAACATAAATGTTCGGTTCCAAGAAAAGAATCCATCAGTGAGACTGTGCACTATTTACACTTGGTTATCCACCAACACTAAACAAACTTTCCAAATGATGGGCCTGAGGCCCTACAACTTTCAGGCTCACCTTTGCCACTGTCTCAGAGAATATGACGCAACCATCTGTAGTGTGGGATAGGCTGTTACCTGGCATGCCTGGAAAATCAGACTACCAGGCCATGCTACGTCATCAGCCAATAGAGGTGAATACCAGAAATGATACCCATAAGTAGTCCCCTCACAAGATAACTATAAAGATTACACCTGTTTACATCATTGTTACTGCTGAAGGCTTCGGTTTCTGTAAATTCCAAATTAATCAGGCAAGCTAAACTGAATTACTCTTTGCGTCTACAAATGCATTGAAAAATATCGGTAATAACAATAAAAAAAGATTATATCTTAAACAGAATATTGAAAAGAAAGGTGTCTGATAGAGACCATTTTTAAACTTACCCTGGGAAAAGTAATACAACTACAAAGTGCCTAAGTATTATTAGCAACGATTCCACCCGTTTAGAACTCCACATATCTGAAATACCTTTCCCACTTAGAACAGTCTGAGAATAAATCTATGCAGTGCATGGTGTTCCTGAGTCAGAATATGCAGAAACCTAAGCTTAGTAAGAGGAATAAAGGAAAAAAAAGAAAAACAAAAAGATCTGTATGAGAAATACTGCATATCTGTCTATGCAATAATAAACTTGGGATTAATAAGATACTTGAGAAAATGTCATAATAGGAACATGTTAATTTTGAAAAGATTGGCATCTGTTGGATTTTTAAATCTTTTCTAGCCCTCTGAAGACACTCCAGGAAGTCATGAAGTACAAAGTACGAGAGTTGGTTGCAATGGAATTCCACTTTGGAGGAGATCCTAAAAGGAACTTTCATACTCCTTTACAATTCCCAAGTCCAAGTTGGAACAAGAGAATGAATTCTTGAAATATGAGCTCAAGGAAGAGTTTCAGAGAAAAAAGAATGCAGCATAGACATAAGAGGGTAGTGGTGAACCACACTCCCACAGGACACACCCTCCTTCCTATGCTCTTGGTGGCAACCGCATGGTGTTCCCCCCGGGGAAGCTTCCTGCCACACTCTACTGGAGAACAAAAAGTCTGTTCACTGTTAAGATATTCATTTCAGGGTGAAAGATAACAAGAGAACACAAAATCTGCTATAATCACCTAATAAGGGCGTTTTGATTACCTCTGGGAAAGGGAAATGGGAGGAAGTAAGCACAGGGGCAGTCATGCAGAAGCACGAGGCCGAACAAGGGACTCCAGTCTTCTCTGCTGTCCTATTTCCATTTAACATGATTTTTGAAAACGGTACTAACTGCATTCCCTACAGGGAAGGATGTGAAATGAAGCCAAGGAGAAGATTCTGCTTACTCAAGGCAGAAGACTTAGCAGGGAAGCAGCTGCGGCTAAAAGCACTGCAACCAACGGCAGAGTCAGAGGGGAAACACCACACAACGCTCACTAGCTAGCTGCAAAAGCAAATCTCTACCAACAGCAGGAAATCAGTGGGCAAATTCTTTTTCGCTAGATTGAAAAGGATATGCTGAAGACATTTACTCTGGAAATTAGAGGAAATTGACTGAAAGAAAAACACCCCAATTATCCCAGACTCACTAACTATTTTTGATAGGAAAAAGAAACTATTTTGGTGACTTTATAAATTACTATTTCAAAAAATGCATTAAGAGTAAGCACAACTTAAAAACAAAATTTTTTTAGTATCCCTATAGGAAAGGATCAGGGAAGGCCTCCCCCCCCCACCTCCCATTAATTAAGAAGTTTCAGAAAAAGAACCTTTGAAAAGAGGCAAACCAACAAAGCTAGGAGAGCTGACAGTGAGAAAAACATGCACCATGAGAAACACACTGGCCACCAGAGGTAACCGTATAGAGAAATGGAATGGGACACTTACACAGCAGCTATCTGTCAAAGGGTCCCGACGGCTACTGTGTTCTGAAACCATCAAGACAGAATAGCAGGATGGGAAGAATGTAGTCACAAACAATCCACCAGATGACAACACTACACAGTGCAGAGGTCAGCACAGCTAGGGAACATCTGGAAAGGGGTGAAGGGGAAAGAACAGATGTTCAAATTGGGAAGCCAAAATAAATAAAATAATAAATAAATAAAGCCATGTGTGAATTGTAGACACCCTGTGATAGATACAAAGGGGTGGGAAACAAGGATGGGATTTTGCCATTTTATGTTGGGGAGAAAATGCTACCTGCAGTTTTAAATTGATTTGGTATTTGGCAACAAAAGATTAGATCCAATCTCTAGCTGGATAACTGGCCCTTGTTAATTTAATTGTACGATACAGAAATCAGAGTTGTACTTACAGGACGGAAATTCTTCGAAAAGCAGAAGATACACACACAGAAAACTAAATCAAACTAGGGGATAAGGAGGGAAAACCAGCCAAACAACACGTAGCCCTGGACTGATCATTAACAGTGATTCAAAGGAGGCACAATTATAAATGAACACAGCACAGCAGCAGTGATCTCATTTCAATGCAGTCCCACATTGGATCATCTAAGAGTTAAGGCAAACGGCAGACTCTGAAAACAAGGACTAGAGAAGCACCCCCAACCCCGGGCAACACAAAATGAGGAACATTTCCCCCACAAATCAACATAAGATAAATTTCCTCAGTTGTTTTCCTCATTCATTTTCCTCTTATGGCCAAACTTGGCTTTCAGCTCAGTATTTCTTAATCCAGTGGTCTAGTTTTTGGCAGTCAAGAAGGAAACCTCACAGTTTGAAGAGTGGTGACTCCATCCAGCTACTTCTAAATGGTCACCAGGACATATCTGTGACCAAACATAAAAGGCTCTATTGAACATTTGCTCTGTGCGAGTAAGGGGCTGATCAAGTCATAAATGACTTGTCTGGCTTACTATGAGACCTTTATCGGTGTCCTTGTCATCTTAATCACTGAACAGGTACCCGATATGGTCTCCAGTGACAAGGGATTACACTGAGGACGGACCTGAAATCCAATCTAACCTCACCCTGCAAGATATATCTGGCAGCAAGTTACAGCTCATTTACTCCTTCCACAAAAACGCAAACCTACTCGTATATATTAAGATTACAGGGGCTTAGTATTTAGGCAGAATAGAGTAACTGGCTTAGGAACACTAGAGGACTCTCTATCCACCCCAAGTTTCATCTGCAGCTCCTGATTTAACAGTGATCTTAAAGGCAGAATGGTCTGAAAATCCCAGTGTCTCCATCACAGATTTTTCATCGTTCTTCTAAAGTTCACGGCGTAAGAATTATTTTCCAATGAGGAGAGCGCACCCATCCATACTGTGCAGCTAAGGAAGACTTAAAGCAAATTAGATCTGTATTTTCACCTTATTCCCAGGTAGGCTACAATGGACTCTTTATGCACCATTTCATTTAACACCTGACAGAAATGAGCAGTATGCAGACAGGCAGCATGGATGAAGTTATAAAATCGACCAAATCTATTTTAGCACAGACAACAATATACTTGCCGTCACGTCCCACAGATCGCGTCAAGGTCACGGTGCTACCCGATTTAATGTCTTCCTGGTAGTCGGGATCAGACAGACTCTCTGAGAAAACGACTACTTTACAGCATCTAACAACTTTGAACTTTACCCCCCCACCCCCAAATAATACTGTTTGTAAAATAGAAAATAATAATTGGAATGCTATTTTTGAGTACTTCAAACTTGCTCTTAAGAATCACCAGTACTAAATATTTTTCACTAACTTTCCTTCTTATAAGTATTTTCACTCTGGGACACCTCACACGCCAAGGTGAATGTGATCACGTCTAGTGTCGCCGTCTGGTTTCCCATGGTATTTAGAATTTTAGGCTTCATTCATTGTTTTCTTTTACACTGCCACAAACCTATCAGCTATTAAAGGGACTTTAATGGTCTCATCTGTAGAAAAGAGCAGTAAGTGACATGAACTCTCTGGAATACATATTCACAACGTAACAGACTCAGAGTGACTGAAGGAAATTTCCTAGAAGCCCTATTTAACAGGAACTTTTGACTAAGCAGAATTCCCATCCTAACTCCCAACCTGACTTTTTATCAGAAGCTTTTGAGAAATAAACTGATGTTGCAGATTCATAAAAACAAAACAAAAAACCTGAGCACAACTAAAAGCAACCCACAAATCACCCATTTTCTAGGGCTTATGACGCAAAGCCCTGGACCAGCCGTGGGGGTGATACCTGGAAGCTTGCTAGCAGTGCGGTCACAGACCACACCCCAGGCCCAAAACCATGATCTACATTCTGACAAGCTCCTGGGAGACTCAAATGCTCGGGGAAGAATGAACATTGCTTGAGGCGAGTACCTATACCTATCACGCCTCCTGTGGCCTCAGGAGGATTATCTGGAGGGACTACAATATTTCTAAATAAAAAGAACCATCAAGGCCTTAGATGAAGATTTTCTAAATTAAAATCAAAATGGCATCTGGAGTTACATAAATGACACAAAAGGCACCATTCTGAAAGCTTTCTCAGTGAAATGCAGCTGCCCCACACTGGAGAAGGCCCAGGGAATGCCTGTAGTCCACACGGACACGTGTTCTTCACATGGCCCTTTTCAACTGCATTCTTTTCTGTGTGTCTTTTAAGAACATCTCAAGGCAGGGGCCCATGACAACACATGCCTTCTGTGTAATTCTACTTTAGATAACAAGGAGGTGCCAGTGAAGAACCACTGTGAATTAAAAAGAAGGCCTGTCCTCTGCCGTGAACGTTTATAATGTCATTAGGTCCTTACTGTATTACAAGATGATTACTGAACAAAATGACATGTCTACATCCCCCCCCCCCCCAAAATCAGATAAAACAAAACAAAATAACAAAAACAAAACCATAACCAGAGGGGTGCCTGGGCGGCTCAGTCGGTTAAGGGTCTGATGCTTGATTTTGGCTCATGTCATGATCTCAGGGCCATGACACTGAGCCTTGCACTGGGCATGGAGCCTGCTTAAGATTCTCTCTCTCTCTTCCCCCACCAAAAAAAAAAAAAAAAAAAGGATATAACTGGAAATGTGGTACCCCACAATGAAAAGGAAGGTTACTATAAGGAAGGAATCCAACAGCATAAATGAAAGCATATACTAAAGAATATACTAGAAAAAAGTGCAATGGCCAAGTCTTTAAATTCTACATATTTTTCTAACAATCCTAGATGGTCCATGAGGTTGAATCCCAACTAGCACTTACACAATCAAGTACAGGTGAGCATATACACACTAACTATAAAACTTCCTATCCCATACTAAACCTTCTGTAACTTGAAAATAACTCCTCAAATGAAAAATGCAAAATTCTTATTTAATCTAGTTCATTATTGCCCTAAAATAATAGAACATAAAGCTACAATGTCATCCTTGATTAAATGCTACCATATCCAAACAAATGGTCTATAATATGGTAGTGAATTTAAGGGAATACACAATTTCAGCAACTCTGGGCAAATCTGTTATTCCGTGGTTTATATCTGCTGCCACTCTCCTGAGGATGGCCTGTGGTGATTATCCATGGAGAAAAAGCATTCCCAATACTGCTTTCCTATGTACACAGCCTAGAGAGGTTACAACACAAGACGGAGATAAAGGACAGCCAAGAGCTTCCTGGGCAACAACCCTGGGTTTTAAATAATGTCAATAACCATTTCGAAGTAGCATAATGGGAATGTGACTATGGAGAAAAACAGACAGGAAAAAATGCTCATGAAGGACCTCCTATACATATTACATAACATCAACCACACAAAGGAAACCAGACTCACGTGAGGGGAATAGCGTTTGTTTTTGACTGTCTTCTGCTTTTCAGGGCCCGCAGTCTATCACCTTGTGTCACTCCATGGATTTCGTCATCATCACTGTACTGTGTAAGTAAAGAAACACTGAGCTAGTGACTTAAGTTGCACGTATTAAGTCAGTAAAGCATAGCACCTGCATTTATCCACATAGACACATACAAATAAACTGCTGAACTCTAAAAAATTTTGCTGCTTTCAAAATAAAGCTACAGGTCACATTTCAAGACAACCAACAGTTGACTTTACAGACACTGAACCCAACAGCCCTCTTGTTATAAAACATACTGACTGTGAGGAGGCATCATGGGTTTTCAATAATGAAACAGTCTTCATAAAATTTCACAATACACGTACCACACTCACTATAGTACCACTACCCCCTAAATTCCTGATTCTTTAACATTTCCCAACTGAGAACAACTAGTTCCCCAAATTAACAGTCGCAAAATGGGAAGGTGGTAGGGAGGCACACGGGGAAGCGTCACTAGGTTCATCTAAAGAGCTTACTTCACATACCTCATTTTTCTGGTGCCTAGTAAGCAAACAAACAATTTTAGTTTTATGGACATATGACCTTATCTTAACTATTTTGAATAAAAAGTTCCTAGAGGGGGCTATAAGTATAAAAAAAAATGTATGACGATAATCCCTCAAAATGTACTTTATTATTTTTATCTACAATTTCCCCGTGCCCTATAAGGTCCTCAACAGCACTGAAAACAATGACAACAGCGTGATGGGGATGGTTCGATTACCAGTTCAGGTTCTTGCTTTTCTTGATTCTCGACCCCATTGATTGAAATGTCATCAACAGCCAAGAGGAGTTTTGAGACAGCTGCTCTGTGTTTTCCATTCTCCTGTCCCCTTAACTTTTGACGAAAATAGTCACCGTCCAACCAGAGGCTTGCTTGTTTCCTAGAGCATTTAAATAACGTCATCAAAATACAGCTTTTCCAGAAAGACACACACAAATGACTCTCTCCTACAGACTATCTGCTATTACTGGAGACTAAGAAAAATCCTACTTCCCATCATTTTCCAGACCCAAGTGTCCCCTGAGGAATTACCAAAGTTCTCTGTCTACTTACATCACCAAAAATTGTTGCTGTGGTCCAATCACTGAGCCAGGTCTGCAGATTCTGACCCAAGCAATGGTTTCAGCTGCTGTCATCCTATAATGCTTCATGATGTAGCAGGCTATTAGAGTGCCTGTTCGTCCAAGGCCAGCTAGAAAAAGAAACAAACCAAAGGGACCTGGTCTCATGTACTCCAGAATTGTGTTGGGCAGGTATAATTTTTTAGAAGGCTTCCCATGATTCTGCTTCCCTCAACAGTGGTTCTCAAGTTTGGATGCACACAGTAATTACCTGAAGGGTATTAAAAAACACTGGGTCTCACCTCCAGAATTCTGATTTAATTGATATGTGATACAGCCTGGACATGGAGATTGCTAACATCCCCCTGATAGTTCTATGTAGTCAAAGTGAAAATCACTTTTTCCAAGTGATGATTCTCAATGAGTACACTGTTTTCTACTCTGGGTTTTCTGTTAATGGTACCATCATCTTTCCAAATGCATGAGCTTAAACTTTTACACTTATTCCCCCATTCAACAGTTTTTTCTATTCTACTTTTATTCCCATTTTCATATGGATTTCTTTTTTACCTCTATTTCTGTTGTCCACCTTTACTCTCATCTAGACTATATCATTACCTCCTGTGATGGTTAATTTTGTACGTCAGCCTGGCAGGTGTATTTGGAAGAGACTGACATTTAGATCTGTGAATAAGCAGATTACCCTCCATAATGTGGGTGGGTCTCATCCAATCAGTTGATGGTCTGAAGAGAATACAAAGACTGGCTTCCCCAAGCTAGAGAGAATTCTCCAATAGCCTGCCTTCAGATTTAAGCCACACCATCGGCTCTCCTGGGTCTCTAGCCTGCCAACTCACACGAGAGATTTTGTACTTGTCAGTCTCCATATTCACATGAACCAATTATTTATAATACATCTCTTTTATATATACAGCCCATTGGTTCTAATTTCTCTGGAAAACCCTCACTTAAGACAGATTTCGGTACTTGCAAAATGCTGTGCTACTGTGACATATGTAAAAATGGGAAGGAGCTCTGGAGTTGGACTGTAAAAGTCTGGAAGTTTTAAGGCACAATGTTGGAAAAAACTTAAGACCACATTGAAGGGGCTGTTGGTAGAAATATGGGTGTTAATGGTGATTCTAGTTCTGACTGAGATGGGAATGAGAAACATGTTACTGGAAACCTTGTTAGAAAGTGTGTGTTGGGGGACGGGGGCTGACTAAATTGTTTTAGTGCTTTATGTAAGGTAGAACTTGTGAGTGACCACCTTGGATATTTAGAAAAGGAGATTTATAAGCAAACTATTTTTTTTTAAAGATGTTATTTATTTATTTATTTGACAGACTGAGATCACAAGTAGGCAGAGAAGCAGGTAGAGAGAGAGGAGGAAGCAGGCTCCCTGCTGAGCAGAGAGCCCGATGTGGGGCTCGATCCCAGTATCCTGGGATCATGACCTGAGCCGAAGGCAGAGGCTTTAACCCGCTGAGCCACCCAGGTGCTCCTATAAGCAAACTGTTGAAGTACAGCCTGGTTTCTCCTTATTACAGTAAAATGTGAGAGGAGACAGATGAACTGAAGAAAAAGTTGTTAAGAAAAACAGAAATTAAACATTTAGGAAATTCTAGGCCTATTCATATTGCAAATAGTGAGAAAGTATGTTCTGGAGAGAACACCAAGGGAATGGTCTATGACCCATTCCGTAAAGTGATTACCTATGGATCTAATCAGCCATCTCAGCAGAAGCCAAAAACAGTGCTGGGATTGATTATACCAAGCAGGCACGCTGCCGGTCGGAATTAAAGGAGATACACACAGGATGAAATAAAGGAAGGCTTTCAGGTTTCTGGAATTCTAATAGGACTAATAGAAATATCTTACTGAAAACATGCTTCATCCTTGAAGAAAAGGGAAGCAGAGCCCCAAGGTACCAACAAGGCTGTCACTGCCAATATAAGCCTGGGGGCAAGGCTGTCTACTCCTGGGTTTCAAAGGGTAGGGCCGGATCCACGGTCAGTGGGTCAGGTTGTTCCTGCCCACCACTTCAGGAGCATGGCCACTACCCACGGGGCCTGCGTAACAGGGAAGGAACCAGAACATTATGTCTCGGCCTTAAGATCTAACAGCATTTGCCTTGCCAGGTTTTGGACTTGCTTGGGACCTATCAGACCTTTCTTCTTCCTGATTTCTCTTATTTGGAATGGGAATGCCTACCCTACTGGTGTCCCACTATTGTATTTTAGACGTGCTTAAATTGTTAGGTTCCACAGGGTAAGCTAGGGAAGAATTCATTGCCAAATGTCTGTTGGGGGGTGCAGAACCACCCTGAATGAGGGTGAGAATAACCTCAACTGCTTATTATAATTTAAAAAATGAAATAACCAGTGTTGGATTTTAATTATTTATTTTTTTAAATTGTGGTAAGGTACACATGACATGAAGTTTACCACTTTAACAATTTTTGTTCACGCATCATTTTCCCGGTTTTTTTCTGTGTTTCCTGTTAGCTCACTGCATTTTTAAGTCAGCTGTTCTAAATTCTTTGTTCAGGGGTGCCTGGGTGGCTCAGCGGGTTAAGCCACTGCCTTCGGCTCAGGTCATGATCTCAGAGTCCTGGGATTGAGCCCCGCATCGGGCTCTCTGCTCAGCAGGGAGCCTGCTTCCTCCTCTCTCTCTGCCTGCCTCTCTGCCTGCTTGTGATCTCTCTGTCAAATAAATAAATAAAATCTTTTTTAAAATAAATAAATAAATAAATTCTTTGTTCAGTAATTCAAAGATCTCAGTTTCTTTATGGTCAGTATCTGGAGATCATTTTAACCATTTTTAAGTGTACATTTCAGTGGTATTAACCAGCTCACTGCTTGCAACCATTACTACCATGGCCTCTGTGTACTTGAGACAAATGTGTTTTCCCTTGTTGGGGGGCAGTGTTCTAAGGTGTCTGTTATTTCTAGTTGATTTACCGTGTTGTTCAAATCCTCGATTTCCTTACGGATCTTCTTATCCGGTTGCTTTTTTCCATTATTAAATGGGGGAGAAGTTAAATAAACCCTAGTACACCACACAATGTCTTAATACACAATCATTTATTCAGTAAATACTTATTAAGTGCCAAGGCACTGCTTTATAGCTGCTGAAAACATAGGAACTTGTTAGACTATAAGCTCCACAAAGAGAGGCTCTCAGAGTCTGCTCTTCTCACTGACATATTCTAGAACATATCAAACAAAAGACACTGAATAGGTATTTAAGGAATAAATGAATGCATGTCTCTTTTTTTAAAAGATTTTGTTCACTTAGAGAAAGAGTACACGCATGTGCGAGAGCAGGGGACATCAAGAGAGGGAGAGGGAGAGAATCTCAAGCAGACTCCCTGCGAAGCACGAGACTGACATTGGGACTTGATCTCACGACCCTGAGATCATAACCTGAGCCAAAACCAAGAGTTGGACAATTAACCGATTAAGCCACCCAGGCACCTCTAAATGAATGCATTTCAGTGTGATAAGGTTTTGTAGGGTTACCAATGAATATAATTTAGATTATACTTTTCACATGAAATTAGGGTTTTAAAAGCATTCTGTATATGCACAGCTTTTTAATGTCAGTCGTACCTCAATAAAGTGGTTTTAAGAAAAAAAGCAACTTACTTAAAGTACAAGAAGGGCAGCTTCATGTATTCTGGCTTATAATCTAAATGGGGCTCGTGTGTTTCTAAACATGGTGCACATCCACCATTCTTTAACCAACCCTGGAAACATACCTTTACAATGTACTGCAATGGCACCCTCTGCATTTTCACAAATATCCAGAAATTCTTTGACGATGGCATCAGTAGGGGTGCTACCATCCGCAAAGAAAAGATCATAGTGATCGAAACCAGCATTTGTAAAGCGTTTGGCATCATACATCCTTTTATTCAGACGAATAATGGTAGTAACGTTGTGATTCTTAAAATATGAAATATAAGCCTCGGGAGAATGTTGGTGGTAACCTACATAAAGAAATTCACCAGATGCTGTCAAATGCAGAAAGAAAACAACAGATAACAATTTTACTTATAATTGGGTGGAAAAAATATCTGGACTAGGGATTGAATACCAGTTTGATTATAACTGGCAAAGCACTAATTTAAGAAGTTAAAAGCCAGGCAGAATGATGTACTAAAATGACCAAGTTTATTTAAATAATTAAGACAGACAAGCATGGTTTAACTCTTTGGCCTCTTCCAAAGGAAAATACAGGTGGATACTTCTTACAATAACAAAATTATACTAGGTTCCCTATTTTCACATACCGCTTTCAAGTCTGGTTCTTGAATGAGGTCCACAGAAGGCAATAAATTGGTCTGGTATTATCCAATTTAAATCTCCATTTTCTGCTTTCTGCAAAGGGAATATCAGTACAATTCATTTTTAGACTTAATCTCCTGTCCACATCCCTTCTCAATACTGAGTGTCTGAAGGACTTCAAATCCATTTGTTTTAGCACAAAAGTGTATATAAATGACCAGGAGAAAAGAAAGTTAAAATTAAGCCTGCTATGAGTATTCCCAGGGAACAGTTAGTTAACTTCTCCTCGTCCTAATCGGTTTTCTTAAGATAGCATTTCTTTGGGATAGTCAGCTTTGGAAAATAGAGCTGACTCCTGCTACCTAAAATATAACTACATATTTTGGTTATTTTATCCACATAAATTCTCATGTGGTTACTGCTACTTAATAAGAAAGTGATTTTTTTTTTTAATATGAGTGAATCCAGAAGCTTCCCTATTTTCCTTGAATGACTGTCTTCCAATATGAGCAATCTTGACTCCTTCAACAAAGGGAAAGTAACAAAATTCTTGATTTCTCCATATTTACACTTTACTCATAGAGAGACACACTTCCATCATTTTGTTAGCTATTCAGTAAGAGAAATTTGCACTAACCCCACCAGGAAATTTGAAATTATAAGTACAGTGAGATTACAGTCTATCTCTAGAAAAAAACACAAATATAAACTGAAATTTAAAACACTTTACTTCCTCTTATTAAGTCCTTTCAACTAAGTTACCATAACAATTATTATAAGATATAGCTAAACTTTAACAATAATAGAAATGGATACACAAAGATTTAAGCAGGAAGGGGAAGACACGATAGTGAAGGAGAGAACTAGCAATAAGGGGCTGCCTGGGTGGCTCAGTGGGTTAAGCCTCTTCCTTCGGCTCAGGTCATGGTCTCAGGGCCCTGGGATTGAGCCCCACATTGGGCTCTCTGCTCAGCGGGAAGCCTATTTCCCCACCCCCCATTCTCTGCCTGCCTCTCTGCCTACTTGTGATCTCTGTCAAATAAATAAATAAAACCTTAAAAAAAAAAAACTAGCAATAAAAACAAGATCAATTAGCTTTGCAATTGGGGTATACATATGTGCACTTAAGAACAAGAAAGAAATAAACTGGGAGTTGCCTGAGTATTTATAGGCCAGTCAGGTAATCCCAATCCAATTTACTTAATTATCAGTGAGGGGAATTAATGAGCCCATGTTCCATACTAAAAAGGCCTAAGCAGGAATGAGAATGGGCCCAGATATTTCAATTTTGAAATGAAACCAGAAATCTGGAGTTTTTAATGAGAAACTGATTAGATTTCATTGAATTTGCAGACATCACAGATTGTGTGTAAGATGCATCCTGAATTCAGAGAAGTTAAAATGGGGGAAAAATGGGCATCATGGAATCAAAGAAAGACACGAATCCAAAATTTTTAAATACACCAGAGACTGAACAAAACGACCCATGGTCTGTAGCTACGTAAACAGTTCCTTGGGTCTCAGTGCAGTTTCACTGAAAGTAAACAGCTTTTGTCGGCAACCTTGTTACTCCCCGCAACACTGCAATTTCTGCATTAGTGAGAGGGAAACTAATTAGCACCTATAGTACTCCTTAGTAACATAAAGACACCACTCTGCTCCACTGAAGGATACCAACTGGCAGTCTTACTACTTTTACTTGCCTAAAAGGAGAAAGTATTTTTTATTTTAAATGTTTAATTTTATGAGGATAAGCACAAAAATAATGGTATTAAGTTATATTTACTAGTTTAAGATGCAAATTACATATCTATTGTACTTCAGATATGTACTCCCATTCCGGAGAAGATATGGTTGGCCTGAATGAATCAATCCTGAGCTATGCTTTAGATCTTTGTATATCACAGTAGTGACTAATTGTAACTATTAAAACAAAACAGTTTAAAATAATAGTTACTCTAGAAATCGATTGTGAAAGGGCAGTTATCCCAGGATTCCAGATACTGCTGCATAGAGTGCTATCTATGGAATCACTCCATTATGAGTGAGAAAGTCTGCTCAAGGTAACCACGGTAGCGTAAAGAGACAAGATTCCATGAGGACTCATGGTGAAGAGACCTTCAGCAAAGCATCTTACTATCTATTTAAAGGGCAGAATGGTAGAACCAAATTACTTATGCTTAAAAAAAAAAGTACACTACATTTAAAAATGTAGAGGACATCTATTGCTTTGCTTTCCTAGACTTTCTTCTCTTTTTGTTTGGGTGGTTTGATAGGGCTGATCCCAGCACTCCACTCCAACTACCAAGATGGCCCACCTACCAACCACCCTCATCAGAAACACAGTCTGGTTTAGGCTAGGGACACGACCTAGGCAGGCCAATGAGGAACTTGTGGGTCTTTTCTGATGACTTTGCCGAGAGAATAAATCAAAGCTGCTGGTCACCATTTTTATCACTACTGGGCAGCTTTAGCCTAATTTCAAATACTGGAGTACATTAATCAGGTCATGCATGAAGTTATACCTGCTCCTGGATGTTTTATTTATATAAGTCAATAAATTTTCCTTTTTTAGTTAAGCCGTTTCTATTTACTTTCTGTAACTTGCAACCAATACAGTCTTGACTTCATATCAACAAAAGATTATGATAAAAATATTTTTTCCAGAGGTAATTAGATATATAATGACTACTCATCTCATAAGATCCTCTGTTAAGGGTTTTATGATTTTCTCATTTAATCACTACATGAAAATCATCAACACTAAAAAAAAAAGAAAACTGAAGAAAAATGCCCATAAGCACATTCATGCAACTCTGAAAAGATGCATCAAATGCAGAAATCGCCATTAAGAACTGGAACTACAGAACTGGGGGTGAGAGGATAAAGACCTGAATTTTTTTTTTACTCTATACACATCTAAATCATTCACTTCTTTAAAAAACAAGAATATTATCTCTGTAAGTAAAACATGAATAAAGGAGTTAAAAGCAATATCCTTGAAAACTTACTTCATAGTGTTCATATTCATCAAGGTTAAATGAGTTGAAATTAAGGAAGTCATACTGCATTGCCTAAAATCCAAAGGAAAACTTTTAATAAAGATGTAAATAAGAAAACAATTTCCAATCCAATTTCCTAATTAAAATTTCAGGAGGTACCCCAAAAGAGCATTATTATATTTAGATTTTGTTCCACTTACTAGTTTTCAAAGAAGGTGGATTATGTGTTTTAAATGCTTCCATTATCTGGAAAATTAGCTATAACAATATTTATTTTAATGAGATTTGATTTTTTAAAATTTTCCTTCATCAATCATCCTATCCATGCAGAGCTAAATAAAACAAGTTTTCAAAGTAATGCTACTAAACTTATTAGCTCAACACCACTCAACCTTCAAATCTAATGCCCAAGCAATGATCCCTAAATAAATAAAAAAGGAGGAAACTCTAGGTAAGCTTATTCTAAGCAAATCCCGCCACTTCATAAACATTTTCACTTTCAAATTCTTTTGAATTTGAATTAAAAGATTTAATGTTCTTGATACTACTCAAAATTCAAAATTTTGAAAAAAATTCTTCTTTCAATAAGGAGAAAAACCATAAAATTTCTGTTCTGTGGCCTCACTCTGAATTGCAGCGGGCAGATAACGTAAGCAAAATAAGCACAGTATCTAGTTTCTGACACAAAGACCAGCTGGTGGCCCCTGAGAAGTGTTGTCCCTGGTTGATGATCTCCTTGCCAAGCAGTATATAATCAGGAATTTTTAAATGAAGTACAGTTGACATACAATGTTTTATTAGTTTCAGGTGTCCAACATAATGATTTGACAACTCTGGGTATTACCCAGTGCTCACCACAGTAAATGTAGTCACCATCAGTCACCATACAACGTTATTATATACTACTATTGACTACATTCTCTTCACTGTACTTTTCATCTCTCTGTATAAGCAAGAATTGTCAATCAGCAAAGTATTCTTGGTTCATAAGGGGTGACTCTATAAACTCAACTTCCAAAATTTAAACTACTGAAATACAAATGAAAAATAAGGCTACAATACCAAACAAAAAGCCCGTTTTTAAAAATAGTTATTTAAATTCTAAGACCATGATGAATTATATTTCTCTGAATTCAAAATATTCAATATATGTCATGCTATTTGAACTACAGATGTTCCTAACAGAATGATACAAGAAAATGTAAATTGTAGGCAATTTCTATTCATAAGGAGAGCCTATTAGAAGCTGCATTAAAATTAAGTCATAATTATATTTATAAATGTTTTATATATGCAGTAATATTCCAAATCAGCCACCAACAAAAAAAATGTTTAAATTGAAAATCAGAAGCCATCAAATAAAATTAAATATAGACAGAAAAACAAACTTGGCCTATAGTTCCTGCTAATTAATTAGACTTTGGATGTAGTATCTGATTAAAAAAAAAGAAACTAAGCTGAGAAATAATGGAAACTGCTATAGAACGTTAGAGTAGACCATTTCCAAGGCTAAGTTTTTCACCTCTCCTTTTAAAGGAGAGAAGGGAGCTCTAGGATCAGGACAGTTATGCCTGCCTACATTAGCAATTCCCAGGGGCCCATCTGGCAGGAACTATAACTGCAACCGGAAGGGGTCGTTTCCATTTGCTGTCCCTCCATCTCTTGAGCACTCCCTCTGAACATTACTTGCCTAATCTGAGGCCTGATGGAACTGCCTCAAAGCATATGGTAATGAAGCCAACCAGCTCCATTTATCACTGGACTCAAACCCAAAAAAAAAACCATTAAGTTCCATACCTTGTTGCCTAAGATAGGAAAAAAAGGTATACTAATTAATCTCCGAATTTGTTTACTACTTAGTTCTCAAAATTCTCAGAAAGCCACCATGTTTCATTATATAAGAAAGTAAACCCAGGTTTCTTTTGCCTCTGAAAATACAAGTCACATAAAACTTAAGATGTTGTTGAAGGCCTATTTGATCCATGAGCAACCGATTTCCAATTCTTGTTTCCTGTGCTGCCCTGACATTCAAGACATATACCTGAGGGAGTGAGTGTTATAACCATAGTCTGCTACGTCACATAACTCCAGGGGACCCCATTCATTTAGAATGTGATATGAAAGGTGTCCCTCAGAGTCAAAAACAGCAAGCAGCCCTGGTTATAAAACACAGGAGTTATTTTTAAATAGCTTTGACAAAGCAGTGGTGACCTACTTAGTCTTATATAAAACCTAGTAACCAACTAATGGGCTATACAAATTCTTCTGTTGAACTAAAAATTGAATGCTTGAAGATACAAAAATGAAGTGTTTGTATCAGTTACTGTGTTCTAGAAATGTCCGTTGTAATTAGGATTGGTGGATATCGGACACGTAAAATACACAAATCAGAGAGAACTTGTAAACCTGTAATCTATTTATTTCTTGTTTTTCTCTGAAATCACAACACACTCAAAACAAGTCTGGATTTAGCACCTAATTACATAACTACTGTGCTCTGTTTTTCAAGTGGCTTTTCTCCCAACTCATTCAGACAAACACTCAGATTCAGAAAAACTTTTCTGGTTTGGCATCATTTTAACATTAGTGGGGAAATGGGATATCTCTGACATCATACACATCTTGGAAGATCTTTGTAGAAGAAGGCCTAGCCTTCCTAGGGGCTATAGTTTTCAACTCAATACTGGGCACATCCTACGAATCACTTACCTTCTTTACTGCATGAAAACAGTCGAGAAGTGTAATGTAGAAATTGCAACTTCCATAGGCAGCATCTCTGAAATCCCAAAAGTATTGAAATAAATAGCTCAGTTAATTTCATTTTCTGTATTACACTTGCATCAAGACAGAGCTGACTAGAATTCAAAATCAAACCACAAACTCAGGACCAGGCTCAAAAAAAAAAAAAAATTACCAAAAAGCTAGATAGATACTATATATATATATATAGTATCTATCTAGCTTTTTGGTTAGTTAAGTCAAGGATAAGTCACTGTTACAAATTTCACTGCAGTTTCCATATATTCCAGTAGAAATTGTTTTATAGATGTGGATTAATAAAGACAACTTTCTAAATTTCCAATCATCTCCCAAGATAATTTCTGGCCTTGATAGCTAGGCTTCCGAAGTTTCTTCTTGAATTCTAATCAGTAATATGTTCCCCTCTCCACAAAAGGGCAAAGCATTGCAATTTTTCTTCAAACTGGAAAATACCATATTAAACTGTTACCAGGAAAGACTTCTTTTTGATTCTGTATTTACACATACATGCATGCCAAGTGTAAGTAGGTATTGTAGGTATATGTTCATCCATGTAGAGAAATCATATTAGGAAATCAAGGTAATGAAATACTAGATGTGAGTTAAAAAGCAGTCTGCTCCTAATAATACAATATATGTTTATAAAAAAATAAAAAATTATTTTAAAAAATGCAAATTCAAAACCACACAAAAAAGCAGTCTGCTCTTCTCATTATGTTTTCAGTCTTTAACAAGTTAAATGAGTAATTTCTTTCTGATTCTTAGAAGATCAGGGCACCAAGAAAACCACAGGAACTATGGGGTCAACCACCTTTGGTACTCCTGTGCAAGTGTTTAAATTAGTTTAAAGACAACTCCACCCAATACCGCATCAACAGCTATCTGTAATCTTACCACAAATCTCTTAATGTCTGTTAAGAATTTGTCCAGAAAAATAAGGCCATCCTACACTCACCTGCTTCTCCTTTCCAGCTACCCTGAGCCATTATAAAGTGAAAATGTTTGGAATTAGGCAAGATAAAAATTAATTGAATTGTGATCATTCTAGAAATGCCAAATTGTGACTCTCTGAACGGTCCTTAATTGTTCCCCTGGTGGAATCAGGCTGCTACTGAAGCCATCATTATTAATTGCCTGCCTTGGTTTTATTATAATAATATAATATTACTTACCTGAAAAATTAAACAACTCATTTAAAATTTTCAAGTTACACAAACCTTTAGAATACACACTTTCATAGCAACATGAATAAGGAGGAAAAGGACATCCTTTTTACTTAAAATAGTTTTACTGTCTGAATTGGTTAGAATTAAGGAGGTAAGTTATAGGTTAGCTTACACAGGATGGCACACCAAGTCTTAAAACATGGCACTTTTTCCTATAAGCTTCTGAATTTAAAAAGCTGCTCTTCTACAAACTAGAAAAGCTCTCTATGCAGCTTAGAAAATGATTTTACCAATTGTTTATTGGCAATATTCAGAAAGGAGAAAAACAAAATGAACCACAGTAGTTCTCAGTGTTGTCCCTGGCCAAGTGGCATAAGCATCACCCAATTTTGTTAGAAATACAAATTCCCAGGCTCCACCCCAAGCCTACTGAGTCAGAAGTTATATGGGTGGGCCGGGTAATTTGTGTTCTAATAGTTCCTCCAAATGTTTGTGATGTATGCTCAAGTTTAAGAACTACTGATCTATAGAATCAACACAAAACATATGTTTTGTAGGAATAATTTTTTTAAGGAATAAAGAATATTTTTAGAAAGAGAACCTATGTTAGGGAAATGAAGTAATTTAGCCTAAACCAAACCCAAAATTGTCAGTGGAGGCGCGCCTGTGGCTCACTCAGTTAAGCCGCTGACTCTTGATGTCAGCTTAGGTCATGATCTCAGGGTCCTGAGACTGAGCCCCGTGTAAGATTACTTGCTCTCAGTGTGGAGTCAGCTTGAGATTCTCTGCCTCTCCCTCTGTCCCTCCCCCTGCTTGCACATGTTCTCTCAAATAAGTAAATAAACATTTTTTTAAAAATTACAGGGAAAATATGGTAAACTCCCAAATTACATCCTAATTTTTTACATTTTCTCAGTTACTTTTATTATCTTCTTAACTTACTGATAATTCTTCCCCAGTCAAGTTAAAGCCATGTTGATTCAGTCTGTGATAACCTGAAATATTTATTCATTGCATATTTTTGAGAACCTACAATGGGCCAAGCCCTGCTCTAGTCAATGATGTTTCCACAAGCTTTAATCTGGGCTCAGCTAAAGTTCTACCTCACACATCATACTACCTGAATAGACAACAAAAATCTTTCTTTACTCATTCATGTTTATTTCTTAATACCTCCAACTTTAAACACACCCACACATCCTTCCTTCTACCCAAGCAATCAGGTTTCCACAAAACAGCCGAACAGCAGTTATGAATATAGATCTAAGGCTGCCAGAGGGGGACTTGTTACTAAGATAATTTAACAAACTTAGAAAAGTGGGCAGCTGTGTGTGTGGCTAAGTCAGTTGAGCGTCTGCCTTCAGCTTGGGTCATGATCTCAGGGTCCTGCTTCTCCCTCTGCCTGTAGGTTCCCCTGCTTGTGCTCTCTCTCTCTCCCTCTGAAAAATAAAGAAAAGAAAGAGAAAAAGACAAAGACAAAGACAAAAACAAAACAAACTTGGAAAAGTAAAGGAGCAGGTGCCTGGCCGGCTTAGTTAGTGGAGTATGTGACTCTTGGTCTTGGGGTTGTGCGTTCAAGCCCCAAGTTGGGTATGGAGATTACTTAAAAATAGAATCTTCTAAATAAATAAATATATAAGGCAGGTGAGAATCAATGAAAAGATGGGGCGCCTGGGTGGCTCAGTGGGTTGGGGCCTCTGCCTTCGGCTCAGGTCATTACCCCAGGGTCCTGGGATTGAGCCCCGCATCAGGTTCTCTGCTCAGCGGGGAGCCTGCTTCCCCTCCTTTCTCTCTGCCTGCCTCTCTGCCTACTTGTGATCTCTGTCTGTCAAATAAATTAAAAAAAAAAAAAAAAAGAATGAAAAGAGTATTGCCGAGAAACTGCAAAACAAGGTCAAATACTAGCTTTAAGAATAACGGTTTTTGCAGCAGCTTGTATGCATAATAGCCCAAAACTGCAAATAACACAAGAATCCATCAAAAGGACCAAGGGTAAATAAACTGTGATATGTTCATAGAATGGAATGCTACAAAAGCAGTAAAAAAAAGGATGAATATTGATACTTGCCATAACATGGATAAATCTCACAGGCATTATGCATTTAAAAAGCTAGGTCCCAACCCTCCGTAATCCCTACTATATGACTCCATTCATAAAAGTTCAAAGGCAAGAAAAACTGATGTGATAGAAGTCACAGTATAGTGGTTACTTGGGGGATAGTTACTGACTAGAAAGGGGCTGAAGGGAATCCTTAGGAATGTTGGCAGTGTTCTATACCTGGAACTGGATGGTGGTTACATACACATATAAGATTAGTAGATTTCTTTTAACTATATTAAGATATACATTAATTGAGGGGCCCCTGGGTGGCTCAGTTGGTTAAGCTCATGATCCCTGGTTCCTGGGATCGAGCCCCACATCGGGCTCCCTGCTCTGTGGGGGAATCTGCTTCTCCCTCTCCTGACTACTGCTCCCCCTGCTTGCGTGCTCTCTGTCAAATAAATAAAATCTTAAAAAACAAAAAGAAAGAAAGAAAAAGATACACATTAAGAAAAAAACCAGGGGCACCTGGGTGGCTCGGTGGGTTCATCCTCTGCCTTCAGCTCAGGTCATGATCCCAGGGTTCTGGGATCGAGCCCCACATCGGGCTCTCTGCTCAGCAGGGAGCCTGCTTCCCTCTCTCTCTGCCTGCCTCTCTGCCTACTTGTGATCTCTGTCTGCCAAATAAATAAATAAAATAAAATTTAAAAAAACAAACAAAAAAACCCAAAAATATGAATGTTCAAGAAATGTTAGCTAAAGATAGGCACTGTACTAGGTGTTTTATATGCAGGATGTTACTTAATCCTCATAACCCATTAGGAAGATCTTACTGTTATTCTCACTTATGGACTAGGAGACCAAGTCTCACATTTGTAAAGAACCATAGAGATGTTAGTGGCAGAACCGAGGGTCAAACTCCCCTTGCTCTAACATCAATAATCAAACTATTAAAAACTACACAGTACTATCTCCCAAGAAAACAGAAAGCAAAGGTCCCCTTCCCCCCGACCCTCAAAAATCAACTAAGAAGCAAAGCAAAAACAGATAATACCAAAGAATGGCAGTGTATATTCTTCCTAACAATAATAATCATAAGGTTCCGAGAAAATACTGAACTACATTTTATACTATATTTTCATTTAGATGGCAGAGAAATATTGATATAATCCATTAAGAAGTCATATATAGGTACATACAAACATGTAAACTCAGTGGTTAAAGAATTATATGTAAGTTGAATTAAATCTAATTAAATATTGCTATGGAGCATAGAAAGTTTAACTACAAATGAATGCTATTCTTGTTAACAGCTATATTTATACTGTGCACTTAAAGAGTGGCAAGGATAAAAGACTATAATGCAATTTTTCAGAATATTATCATGCTTAAAAAATTATCAAAGCTTTATTAATTCTGAGAGACCTACTTTCTAATTAGTAAGTTCAACAGAACAGTAAAATGTGGTGAAGCACCAGATGTTTAAATCCGCATATGCTGATACTTTTATAAAATGCAGTAAGTAGAAAATATGATAGTATTGCATTATTACATACCACAAAAGAACACAGTAACTTCTGTAAATAAAAAATACTTTCTATTTAATTAAAATACAGAATTTTTTTTACTTTTTTATTTACAAGTGAAAGTGAATTACTAGAAAAAATAGAAGGAAAAAATCAAATACAAGCTCAAATTCTTCTAATATTTGATTCCACAGACATTAAAGTACTCTATTATTATGAAAGTCTCTAAAATCTTACTTGCAATTCCTATACTTGTCACAGCTGGTAACAAAGCATTCACACACTGACACTAATTCACAGACCATACCTAGAGAACCAATACTTTAAATACATCAGATATCTGGCATCTAGGCCTACAAAGATTCAAATTTTACAAACTTGAGCTGTTTCTAGCTAAGTCCCGTTTTTTAGAGAATTACTAGCTGTACTCCCAGGACCAGAAGTAACTAACTTCAATTCTCAGTGCCAAACTTCAGTAATTTTTTTTTTTTTAAAGATTTTATTTATTTATTTGACAGAGAGAGATCACAAGTAGGCAGAGAGGCAGGCAGAGAGAGAGGGAGAAGCAGGTTCCCTGCCGAGCAGAGAGCCTGATGCAGAGCTTGATCCCAGGACCCTGAGATCATGACCTGGGCCAAAGGCAGAGGCTTAGCCCACTGAGCTACCCAGGCGCCCCCAAACTTCAGTAATTTTAAACACAGGTATGGCAAAAAGGCAACATTTATTCTGTTTTGGCCTTTGCATTTAAATTAATGCAAATTCTCTTTTACATTAACAGTGTTCCATGGATCCTTACTTGGATTATGTGAAATGTATGTGCTTGTTCTATTTCAGGACCTTATGTTATAAACTTTAAGAATGGCACTATTATAAAGGAATACCAATAGGAAGAACTCTACAACAAAATTAACACTGTATACCAATGTTCCTATGACTCATAGACCACAGATACAAGCGTTTCTTCTAAAGGAAGTATATGATTGCTATAATAGCACAGGTTGAGAAAAAAAGTAGAGCACTCTCCAGTTTAGAAAATAATCTTCATCTCTTCCTACCCTCCTCAAATAACAGAAGACCTAACATAATCCTTGCACTAGAAAGAAAGATGGTAGTACTGGGTTCAAAGTAATTCTTTTAATTTGCTAAATCACTTAACATACAGTCTTCAGTGCAATATAAAGCTGAAACAAACATCTATTTCATGGACTAAGTCCATGGACAGTCCTACACTTACTGAAGAAGATTCTGCCTAAAGGTCAATGGGACCCATCACAAAGCTTGTCTAAAATGAAGTCAAATTCACAAACTTATGTTTTTCAAAGCAAGGCCATCCCTTCAACATCAGGCATTCAAGGTATATGCAACAATACTAAAACTACTAACTTATGAGTAATAATGCAATACTTAAAATTATCACAGTATGCAATCCACAAAATTGTTTCACATGTTTATCTCATGTTAAGTGCCATACGATATTTCAATTATGTAGCTAAGTCAAGGATTTTAAGAAACAGGTAGATAAACTTTGAGAACTTAAAGAAAAACACAAGCTTTTTCAAAATATCTGCAACACAATCACCTGGTAAGTTTGAGGTGAGGATGAGGCTACCACCTGCTTATACAAAGACACTACTTCTATACCACCTTGATGACAAAGACATTTGGCATTTGGTTTTTCTAGTAGTGGTGCTTGCCACACGAGCAACCTCACCCACTATATCTGCTGGCATATTGCTAGGACAAAGATGTTCCTTTATGCCACTGAAATTAACTCCTGCTTATCAGGAAAACTTATTTCTTAACTCTTCAGGGCCCAAACTCCTCAGTGGCAGCTCTGAGTACTGTAATCCCAGGAATGTCATCTGATTACAAAGTATAGTTTCCATAAGTGGCAGAGGTTCTCACGCAGAAGTGATTCACTGCCACAAGGGACACCTGGCAATGTCTAGAGACATTCTGGTTTCCACAATTAATTTCGTGGAGGTGGAGGTGTTACTGGCAACTAGTAGGCAGAAGCCGGAGATGCTGTTAAAGATCCTACAATACACAGGACAGCCCCCACAACAAAATGTCAATAGTGTCACTGTTGAGCAACCTAGATCTATGGTATTATTTGTACCCACTCCAAAATGACTATTTACCAGGTCTTCCCCCCACCTCTCCCCGTTCCACCCCCTGGCCAAAAACAACTACACCAAGATATTTCAAGATTTTTCTGGCAAGGGCCTGATTGAATGAATCTGTCATGTTATTCTTATATTTACCTGAAAGGGATATAGGATGTATCTCCACACATTAATATTCTATATGCTTCTTCTGGAGCTCTCCCCAAATATATAACCTACATTTGAAAAGAGAAGAAAAAGGCAGTTTATTTCTAAATGAAGATACAGTGTTGTCACTGCAAAATTTTGCACGATTTCTCTCTAATTAACTGAGCCTGGTTCTCCAGCCTTCCCAAGGGTCCTGAGTGCCAGGTAGAGTACTCAGTATTCCACCAGTACCCAGTACCCCACCAGTGAATTCCTTTTTTCCTTCAATCTGCCATAGCTAGTTTCTGTTGCTTGCAGTAAGAGCACTGAACAAACAACTTCACAACAACTTTGTGGTAACAAGTATAGCGTTTTTAAAACAGGACATTTTCTATATCAGGACATTAGATGGAACACATGCTTTTAACCTCATCTTCTTGAAAATCCACTGAAATGACCATAAAGAAGTGTGTAGGGGATGTGGATGGGAAATGGACTGAGACTGGGGAAAAGGTGGAGAAGGACATAAAGGCAGAGCAAGATTTTGATTAACTCTTTTCATTTAGATTTAACTACTTACAACACTGTACAGGTTTTCTATAAAACTGCATTTGCTGCCCATTTTCATTGGCTTCTTTTATCTTCAGAACTACTTTACGCTTCCATCTTTATGTGGTAGGGCTATTCCAAGTAGCTTTTTTAGCATTTTGGATCCTCCACTGGTATTCCTTGCATTTCCAATAGTTTCTTGTTCTCTGCCCTGACATTTACAGACAATGTATATGATTTTTTTTGACGGGTAGTTCCTTTCTCTCAATAATTCATTCATGTTGCTCTACTGTCTTTTCAGTGCTAGAGTTGCAGAAGTATTTTACCAGCCTCTTTCTCTCTTCTTGCTTACAAGTAACCTACAAGAAGCTTGGAATTCAAGGGGCATCTGGGTGGCTCAGTCAGTTAAGCACCTGCCTTCGGCTTAGGTCATGATCCCAGGGACCTGGGATCGAGCCCCATGTTGGGCTCCCTCATCAGCAGGGAACCTGCTTCTGAGCCCTCCTCTTCCCAGTTCTCTCTCGCTATCTCTCTCTTTCTCTCAAATAAATAAATAAAATCTTTAAAAAGAAAGAAACCTGGAGTTTGAAAATTTCACTGACATCCCCCTAAGTAAGTCATCCTCAATCTCCAATGAAGTTTGCCTGGGACTTTCTGACCCTCATTCAATCTGAAGGCACAAGCCTTTTTCCAACTCAGAATCTTCCTGCAGGGCAGGGCATTTTCACTCGTGCATGGGAAGATGGGGAGGTGGCCACAGCATTAGATTTGGCATATATATTATTACATAAATTAGATTCAATGCTAAAGCTTACTTTGGGATAATATACTTTAAATTTTGATCACAAAGGGGCTCCTGGGTGGCTCAGTCGGTTAAGTGTCCGACTCGTGATTTCAAACCAGGTCATGATCTTAGGGTTGTGAGACTGAGCTCTGTGTTTAGCTCCACACTCAGTGGGGAGTTTGCTTGAGATTCTCTCCTTCTGTTCCTCTCATGCATACTCTCTAAAATAAATAAATAAATCTTTAAAAAAGCAACAAAACTAAATTATATATATACTAAATTATAAACTTTTTGTCTTCATTAGTTATACATATGAACTGTTTCCTCAACCTAACTGTGAACTCTTTGAAGTGAGGACCCATGTCTTAGGTTTCATTTTAAATTCCTGGTTCATATACTATATATGGACTCTGATTCAATGTTTAATTCACTGAACCTAAATTCTTAAATCTTAAGTATTAAAAAATCTTTGGATTAAGAGAAATTATAAAATCACAGATCCAACAAGGATCTTTGAAACTTTGAGGACATGTCCCAAAACTGGTCATTAACAGTTGATTCAGCTTCCAGAGAGCATTTCACCAATTTTCTGTTTAAAGAATCATAACTGCAGAACTTTTTCCCAATGTCTAGGCTGTTTCTCAATATGGTTTTATCCTATTTACTCTTTAAAAAAATACAAATTTTAATTAACTATACAGAATCTTCTAACGTTTATCTACGGCAGCATCCAAATCCACGAGAAAAGGTCTAAGAAAAAATAATTGATTACAATAAGGAAATGCTTTGTTACCTTGTACCTAGTACAAATTTTCAAGTACAGTTATTTGTGAGTCATATAAGATTGCAATTTATCATGAATTAACCATAAGATAATCTATTATAATCTCAGTCATCTTTTTGTCTATATATTACTTCCTCTTTTAAGCATCAACTTATCACATGACTTTCTATTTTATTACTTTTTATTTGGAAGAACAGCATGATAATTCTTTGAGGAAAAAATTTTGAAATCCAACCTCCCCCCCTTTCCAAATTTCCTCATTCTCTTCTACTCTCCAACATGTTTGCTTTCTTTTCTAAGGTTTACTGTGTAACACCAGTAAAGTCTTTTCTTTTCTCCATTCTATTTTAGGACTTACTAGTAGACAGACTAGTAGAGGTCCAGAAACCTCTTTCAGATTCTCCCTAAAATTCTAGTAAGACCTTCTCTCAAATTATATAAAATTTTCCTTAAGCACCAGGTTAAAGATAATTCTTCTTACCCAAGATTGCAGTTCTTTAGTTTCTTCAATTACTAAAACTGCAATTAGGTATTATTTCCCTCTAACCTTCAAAACAAAAATAGTCTAATATATTAAATAATTTTTCAGGTTGGATGTATGTTTTGGAACACATGTTCAATTTAAAGAACACAAGAGCACTGTAACATTTTTTCCTTTGGAGGAATAAAACCTAAATCCCTAGTAATGAGCTTTAAAAAAGTTATTTTTAAATCCAGCTGGGGAATGCCTGTACATAATGTACATACATAGATGATATGGGTATTAATGAGATAAGCTGAAGGAAATTTATAGACTCAGAACAAATCTATTTTATAATGCTACAGTCTGAATGCTTGTGTGCCCCACCTTGCAAATTCCTATGTTGAAATCCTAACCCCCAAAAGGTGATGGTATTAGTAGATGGGGCCTCTGGGAGATGGTTAGCCATAAGGGTGGAGCAATCATGAATGGGATCAGTGTCTTGTAAAAGAGGCTCCAGAGAGATCCTTAGCCCCTTCTACCATGTAAGAGGCCTCACCAGACCATGCTGATGTACCCTGATCTCAGAACTCCCAGCCTCCATAACTGTGGGAAATAAAGTTCTGTGTGTTTATAAGCCTCCCAGTCTCTGGCAGTTCATTACTGCTACTGAAAGGACTAAGACACGTAACTATCAAGGGAATATTTGCTACTAATCTATCATTTTTCACTGTACACCCATTCACCTTCCCTAGTCAAAAGGCCTTGCCATATGAAATTATTTTAAATTTAAGAAAAACCCTATAAATGACTCCTATATTAACACAAATCCCCAAATTAGTAAACTCTAAATCAATGCAATGTTATAATCTGTCACTGTGTTCCCGGCAATTTGGAAGCTAGGTCCTTCTCAAATTACTTTGGTATATTTTCATGAGAAGCTATGAACAAATATAGAATGGTCATTCTAATTCCACACTGCTGTCCAAAAATAGAAAGCAACAAATGAGGAACAAGAGAGATATTAAACAGCTGTGGTAGCCAGCTTCTTAAACAGCCTTCATGATGCTTATCTCCTGGTATTTCTACCCTCCCAGGTAGCTCCCTCCCACAATGACTAGGGCACCCATGTGTAAACAATGCATAAATGGCAGAGTATGACTTCTGAGGCTAACTCATAAATGACACTGAGGCTTCTGCCATGGATTCCTCACTCCAGGTACCTCATTCAATGAGGGCAGTTGGGCAGCCCATGTGGCAAGGAACAGAAGCCTCGTGCCAATAACCAGCATTAACCGGCCAGGGGTGTGATTGGACCATGTTTTAGCAGTGCCTCCAGCCCCAGGCAAGCCTTCAGATGACTGCAGCCCAGTGGGATAATTTGTCAGGCAAATTTCTCAGGCAAAAAAAAGGTAACAGGTTAGCACAATAAACAGTGAATAAGGAAATGATCACTTCAGTTTGTTAAAAGTAGATAAATAAGCAAATAGATGACAAGTGCAGAGATGTAAATGTAAACAGGCCCCAAGGCTTAGAAAGCAACGGGAAGGAAAGCCTGTAGTCTGTCTCTCTCTCTCTCTGAGGTAGGTAATCTCTCTGAAGAAGCAAAGGGCAATCTCACAAGATGAATAAAATATTGAGGAAAAAATACTTGAGAAGTCAGTAGAGCTTTTTAAAGTCCTAGTGTAAATATCTTTTTTGCTGAATAATACCATAGCCATTTCTAGGACTTCCACACTCCCATTTTTAAAAATTATCATCTCCCTGCCCCAGTCCCTGTGACAACTGCTAACCTTGGACTACTGATCTGTATTTCAAAACCTGGGAGGGGCTTGATCAGTGGTGAATGAAATCAGTGGACTGAAAGAAAAGAGTTATAGCCTGATCATTCAATTTCAATCCTGACAATTCAGGCCTCAAATAATAAAACCCAATCATTTAGACATATACTTCTTATTTCTTTTCTTACATACAACATTTTGAAGCTCCAGCTATGTACTCAGAGAGACTTAAAACCATCTTTGTAGGTTTTAAAAACCAAAACATTACACAAATCATCCTGAGAATGAAGAATAACAAAGGATATTTAAATTCCACAACAAATGTGGCAGTCAGATAAGCCAGTAAACCATTTTCAAAAATTTTTCACAGAGAAATATCACAATGTTTCCAGTATTAACTATTTTCACTTCAACCAGATAACATAGTCTTTCCTATGACAAGACTGAAATGATCTTTCTTAAAAAATCACTCATCAGATTAACACAGAATGTTTATGAATCAATGAAAGTTAGAAACAAGCTTAAAGATCCAACTGCTGAATAAAAAAGGCAAGTAGGGACAAGACTATATACAATTAACAATTTTATATGATAAAATAAATAAAGTAAAATCACTTTCACAGCTCCTGCACTAATACCAAAAAAAAAAAAACCTAATCACTTAAAAAAAATCACTTTTTAAAAAAATCCTAATCATTTTTTAAAAAATCAGATAGCCTTAGATTTCAATA